TATTACTTTCTCAAGTGTTTGTTTATACTGCTATAAATTAAATCTTTCAATAATCAATCAACGAATAACCAAAAGAACATTGCTTCTAGCAAAAATAATGAATAAAAATTTATAGGTAAACTGAAAAACTTTTATTCAAATAGATTTCTTTAAATCTCTACAACTCATAAAGATTTTGCTGGAATTTGGTGTACCTATATGTCTTTCAGGCTTACTCCAGTTGTGATGCCTTCTATTAATGTTTTCTCCACAACATTTTTCTTCAATTATTCCCTTTTTTTTTTGACATTTTCAACCTCTTTTTAAAAAAATAAAACTAATTTCCCTCAGCTTAAAAATACATTATAGTATCATCTCAGTTTTTTTAAGGCTTTCCATTAATCTTATTGTCTACAGTTAAGACATTATGTTTCCTTTGTCCAAAATTTTCTCAGAAAAGTTTCTATACTTGGTAATCATGTATTAACCATTACAATTTCACATACACCCCTACAAGTTAGTGAAATTCCAAAGATGTAATAACCTCTTCACTACCAAAAGGACTTTCAAAATAGTTTTGTATCAGTGCTAACTTTTATTGGCTCTTTAAAAACATTATTCTATTTTAAATCACTCTTTTCTCTTAAGTGGTAATGAACCATGTCTCTGTTTTTCCCCCTATGTCATTGGATCAATCTCTGTTTTCCTCATTATTTCCACTGCTTTCTATGCACAAAATGAGACTGCACTCTAAGGCTCTGTCTTTAGCTCTTAGACTTTATTGATCCCTACATTTTCCTGAGACAGCTTGGCTTCAGCTACGAGCTCGAGCAAATGACTATTGGATTTACATCTTAGACCTAGAACACTATTTCTGAATTTTAGTTCTTCATTTCCAATGCCTGCCTGATATCTTAATATCAATATCCTGCCTCAAATAAACATGACCAAACTTAACTTTCTACCAAAACTCTTCAAATGCCACCATTTCTGTTAACTAGGTTATTTATTTCCCTGATTACTGATTCCCAAAGTTCAAAATGCCAGAGGAGTCTTTCTTCACTTATTCTTCTCCTATTGCATTCAATTTTTTAAAAAATCTTGCCAAATCTTTGTACTGGTCCTTTATAATGTAATATTGATTGTAGGACTAAGACCAAGAGAGACCTGAAATCTCAGCTTCATGACTGTCTAGATGTCTTATATTAGATAAGTTCCTAAACCCCGCTATATTTAATTTTCTTCCATAAAATAAGAGTAATACCTTTCCACATCAAAGGATATGATGAATAGATAAAACACTTTTCAGAAAGTCCTTCCCCATCCACCCTAGCTGAAGTATTAGCCTAAATCTCTACCCGTTTCATCCTATGTTACCATTTTATTTTATTTAGAAATTAACACTATCTGACCTTCTATGGTTGACTGATTGACTGTTTTTTGCTTACAAGTTTATTCCCTATGTCTTTCCACTGGAGCTCATGAGAGCAGGACCTTTGTCAGTATTATTTACCACAGAATCCAAAATAATCCCACTCACATATTAGGTGCTCAATACATATTTGGTAAAGGAATGAAGGAATAAAATACATGAAGTACCTGCCACAATGGCTTTTAGAGTGTCTGTCCTCTACTTTATGCTGTCTTCTTTATTCTTTGCCACTGCTATCTTCCTGTATCAACCCTAATCACATCATTTCTGGCCTACAATAATTGGTCTCTCTGCCCTCATCTGTCTCCTAATCCCCATTAATCTGCTAGTAAAATCTGGATTATTCTCCTCTAAAAAAACTTTTTATTTATAAAAACAAGTTATTCATAGACACCAACTATGACAGAATGTCTTTTAATTTCCTACTCAAACTACTTCAATAGATCTTCATAACATTTATTAAGAAGTCTAAACTCCTTAGTATATCATCCAAGATTTTTTATAGTACTCCCCCCCCCCCGTCTCTAATTTCCAACTAATTCCTTATACAAAACTCAGTCATTTTGATTGTCCTTAAAAGGGTCATGTCTGTTCCTACCTTTGATTACACCATACCACACAACTAGAATACCTAAATGAAATTCTTCCTTTAGAGCCCTGGTTAAGATACCATCCTTAAATACTGCCTTGTTTTATATTTCCCTACGTTTCTTAAACTATTATTATAGAATCATTAATATACTCATAATTTTTAAAGAATCATATGCAGCTATAAAAAGTCTTTCAACTTTCTAATCTCCAGCCTTCCCATGTATAATCACTGTTTATTGTTTATATATCCTTTCAGATGTGATTAATATTCAAATGCTTTTAGATTTTTCATCAATATTCAATGTTTATATATGTAGAATTATATATACATACAGCATATTATAAACACTGTTCTGAAACATATATCTTTACTTTCTGTATCATGTACCTGACTTGTCTAACACCTGCAGAATTAACCACTGATTTTGAATATTTACATGACTTATTTGCTCTGATATTCATATGACATGAAGCATGTTTTCTTCTATTTTTGTCTATCCATTTAAGTATTTTGTAACCTCCAACTAGATATCAAGTTTCCCAAGTACTTCTTTCAACATTTTAAAAGTCAACATACAATGGTGATTTAAACATGTAATGTCATCATATTAACTATTCAGAAATTGAATATTTTATCCTCTTCCATTAAAAATCCAAATAATAATAAAATGCCTGGAATTAAACATTGAAAAAAATAACTATTTCCTAATGGAATCATTCAAATATGGAAAAAAAAAAAAAACAGATCCACTTTCAATTAAAAAACAAATATTCTGAGTCAACCAAAAACCTCTAGAACTAAGAAATGAGAATAGCAAAGTGGCAGAATATCAGATTAAATAAAATTTTAATTGTATTTCTATGTGCTAATAAAAAACAATCCAAAATGAAATTAATAAATGATTCCATTCATAATATCACAAAAATAAATAAAATGCATAGAAATATTTTTTTTTAAATTAAGTGAAAGACTTGTACACTGAAAACAACAAAACTGAGAGAATTAAAGAGTACTTAAATAAAATGACAGTTCATGTTCAAGGACAAGAATACTATTATAAAGATGGTAATTCTTCACAAATTGATCTATAAATTCAATGGAATACTTATCACTGTCCCAGCAGGAATCA